AAAAATTTGAAAAAAATGAAAAAAACTAAAAATAAAAAATTTTCTGTTTCTAGCTTGAAATTGTTCAATTTTGCAGGCAATCGACCAGGAAAGAGTGTACACACGCTGGATTATGTTCAAATAGCCGATCAGAACAATTTTCAGAACAGTTTCTGTTTCCTTATGGTAGGGCAACAAGGTGGTATAGCAAATTTTTGCTAAAAGCTATAATTTATAATTGAGACGAAAAAACTCTGCCGAAAAATAATGTAAATATTTGAAAAAATTTGAGAAAATCGAAAAAAATTGAAATTAAAAAAAATATATATTTTTTGTTCTTCTCTAATGTTTAATTATGGTTCCCACCGATCAGGAAAGGTTAACGACGCAATTAAACACTTTCTAAAGTTCACTAGAAGCGATATTCGAAAAAGTGAAATTTTCACTTGGGTGTCTAGAACGTGAACCGAGATGAAATTCGAATGTTTTTTGTATCCATCAGCATCGCTGAACCATAATTCGTTCTTCGGGCGAACATCGCGAAAAACGCATTATTTTTGCTTCAAAAAAAAATCCTTCACGGTGAATTTTCATTTTTTCGATTTTCGGAACTTTGAACTACATTAAAAATAAAATTTTTTAACTTAACAAAAGCAAACCAATTGATTTGCATAGAACCATAGGTTCAGAACGTCAAGTTTTCCAGTTCGGAATAAAAGATTTTGCTGATTTCTTTTTCAAAAAATTGTTATTTTTGAAATTTTCATATTTTTCTAAAAATAGGATTTTGACTAATTCAAGGTTCTGAAACCGATAATTTCTGATCTGATAAAGATAGACGCTTGGTTAGATGGATCGTTTCTGTTCTCCTATAATAGCGCAAGCTATAGGGATCATTAATTATTCAACTAGATTATTGGTGGAGTAAGAAATGACTTGTGAATATTTTTGGGATGAAAAAGAAAAATTAAACAAAATTTCAAAATTAACATTAACCTAAATTTTTGTTTCCAATGGTTTGCTATGATTTTTTTTGTCGTACTGGTAAACAAAAGATGTCCTACATTTAGAAGATTGTAACAAAACTTTCCTTATCTATTTCAAAATTAAAAGATTTTAATGGAACATTCTACCTGATACTCTATCTATCTCTTTCTTGATTTTTCTTATCGATTGAGTTTGATTGAAAACATTGCACTCAAATTTAATTTACTCAATTGACACAGAAATCATAAAATATATACATATATATACAAACAGAAATCAAACTGATTTGATAAAAAGTGAAAGCAACACATCAAACCAAAACAAGCTCCATAATTTTAATAAATCAAAACAATTTTAAAAATAGCAAACAGTTTTCAAAAGTTTTCTTAAAACGGATTGAATACAATTTTACGTTTTTTGGGCGCATAGCAAGCATTGATAGGCGGCCGGGTCTTCCCCCAGCATATTTTGATAAAAAAACTAATTTATAAAGTTTTTGGTTTTATTATCAAAATATGGTGGGGGAAGACCCGGCCGCCTATCAATGCTTGCTGTGTGCCCAAAAAACGTAAGATTGTATTCAATCCGTTTTAAGAAAACTTTTAAAAACTAATTGCTATTTTTAAAAATGTTTTGATTTATTAAAATTATGGAGCTTGTTTTGGTTTGATGTGTTGCTTTCACTTTTTATCAAATCAGTTTGATTTCTGTTTGTATATATGTGTATATATTTTATGATTTCTGTGTCAATTGAGTAAATTAAATTTGAGTGTAATGTTTTCAATCAAACTCAATCGATAAGAAAAATCGAGAAAGAGATAGATAGAGTATCAGGTGGAATGTTCCTTTAAAATCTTTTAATTTTGAAAAAGATAAGGAAAGTTTTGTTACAATCGACTAAATGTAGGACACCCTTTGTTTCTCAGTACGACAAAAAAAATGATAGCAAACCATTGGAAACGAATTTTAGATAAATGTTAATTTTGAAATTTTAATTAATTTTTCTTTTTCATCCCAAAAATATTCACAACTCATTTCTTACTCTACCAATAATCTAGTTGAACAATTAATGATCCCTATAGCTTGCCCTATTATAGGAGAACAGAAACGGTCCACCTAACCAAGCGTCTATCTTTATCAGATCAAAAATTATTGGTTTCAGAACCTTGAGTTAGTCAAAATCCTATTTTTAGAAAAACATGAAAATTTCAAGAATAACAATTTTTTGAAAAAGAAATCAGCAAAATCTTTTATTCCGAACTAGAAAACTTGACGCTCTGAACCTATGTTTCTACGCAAATCAATTGGTTCGCTTTTGTTAAGTTAAAAAATTTTATTTTTAATGTAGTTCAAAATTCCGAAAATCGAAAAAATGAAAATTCACCGTGAAGGAGTTGTTTTTAAGCAAAAATAATGCGTTTTTCGCGATGGTTCAGGGATGCTGATGGATACAAAAAACATTCGAATTTCATCAGGGTTCACGTTCTAGACACCCAAGTGAAAATTTCACCTTTTCGAATATCGCTTCTAGTGAATTTTAGAAAGTGTTTAATTGCGTCGTTAACCTTTCCTGATCGGTGGGAACCATAATTAAACATTAGAGAATAATAAAAAATAATTTTTTTTAATTTCAATTTTTTTTCAATTTTTTCAAAATTTTTCAAATATTTACATTAATTTTCAGCAGAGTTTTTTCGTCTCAATTATAAATTATAGCTTTTAGCAAAAATTTGCCAACCACCTTGTTGCCCTACCATAGGGATCAGAAACTTTTCTGAAAATTGTTCTGATCGGCTATCTGAACATAATCCAGCGTGTGTACACTCTTTCCTGGTCGATTGCCTGCAAAATTGAACAATTTCAAGCTAGAAACAGAAAATTTTTTATTTTTAGTTTTTTTTCATTTTTTTCAAATTTTTCCATTTTTTGTACTTGGCAATTATAATTTTTTTATCTCGTTTATTGACTACAATTAAAAAATTTCTAGGCTACTGGTTTAACCTGTCACAGGACAACAGAAAAGATCCCCATGGTGAACTGTCTATCTTATTCAGATCAAAAGTTATGGGGTTCAGAACTGTACTCAGCCAATTCCAAGCAACCCTGCAACCCTAATAGAATCCCCTTCAATTCCTTCTTTTACCGTGGTGGTTAGCTGTAATTCCTTTTATATACCTGCCTACAGAAATATTAGTCACTTCAAACTAAGTGTACTAGGGGATAGGTGTTTAAGCAAGACTTGAAGTTAACTCTATATACTTGAAAGGAATTAGTCAAACCACCAGGTCTCAGTAATGATTATTTCCTTAACAGGACTGACTAATATAACCGAAAAGGAAAATAAAACCGCTAATCAACAACTATAATTCACCTACGCTTGTGGTTGGAAAACAATTAAGATTTTAACCCCAAACTAAAAATTCACTTTTGTCTTTTGCTTTCTGAATTTCAGCAGTTCTTGATTGAAACAAAAATTCTTTATTCAAAAACTTTCTTCTGATTAATCAGACCAGTTTGAATTTTTCTCAAATCATAAACTTTTGAAAGGAAATCAACAAAACAATGCCTAATTCTTCTAAAACTAAAACCAATCTCGCATGTCATCTGTGTGATGCGGTTCTGGGCTCTGCTAAAAACCTACGACGTCATAAGAAGACAGTCCACAACCTTCATGCGCCGATTGCAGCCGTCAGAGTCAAATGCGATGACTGCCTTGAGGAGTTCAGTTCGGTGGCTGAAACTATTCAGCACATTGAAATCGATCACGGTAGATCAGGAAACAAGCACTGTGCAATTTGCAGAACAGTGTTTATGAGCTTGCAAAAATATCAGAGTCACATGAACAACCGCCATGGACTTCCAGTCTGGGATTCGGATGCTGGCTCTACTTCAACCGGTGGTGGTGGTGGTGGTGGTGGTGGTGGTAGCAATGAGACTATCGCAATCGAAGGTTCATCAACAACGCGGCGAGTACCTCAAAGCACTCGGTCAATTTTGACTGAGAGTCAAACCGCTTTCAATGGCAATTTGAAGAAATATCAACTAAATTTCGACGAGAATGAAATCGACCTGCTCGATTTCATGATGCGAAACAAAGAAGTCATTGATGACTTCATATTCGAGCACTCGCAAAACGGATCAATTAAGGTGCAATTCTCAGTTGAAGTGAGCTTGATGAAACACCCTACCGTGGAAAACGAAGAAGAACCCAATGTTGAGAAAATCACACTTTCCTTGAACACCGAGATGGTACGTGTCAACTATGGTGGTCTGGAACAGGGGCAGTACATTGAGATGATTGAACATATGCTCAACTCCATCAACTGCTTCGCTTCTCATGGAAGTGGGTGGATAATTGAAAGAATTTCAAAAGTTACTATCAATTTCGCTAAACTGTCTCCAATGCGCGCAGGAAGCTACTTGCCGCTACCCCTTGGTCTCAAAAAACAGAACTTCAACCTTGTAAATATAGAAACAAAGACGAACGATAAATGCTTTCTGTATTGCTTCATTGCAGCCTATCACCTCAAACATGGTCCACCTCTATACGCATATTCTCAGGCATACCGAAAGAAGACCAAATGTGCAACGTATAAAGAAGAAGACAGCGAGGACGAAGACAGCGATGATGATGAAGTAAAAGGAGAGTCTGATAGGGATGTTGTCGTCGTTGCCGTCAACGACAATCAAGATGAAGGGAACGCGGAGGAACCCCCACAAAGGCAACCAGATGCAAGACAGCGAGAGATGAAACAGATAGTGAAGATTCAAGAGATTTTGAGATGCCAATGAGCATTCTGGAAATAAGAAGAATTGAAATATTGAACAATGTTCAAATCAACGTATTTCGGTAAGTTTATTTGACATTTCAAATTTCTTCCAGAAAATTTTTCTATTAAAAAAAAATCAACCATGACCTAGAAGTTTATTAAATTTCAAATAAAGTTAACTTTTTTTTCCTTCTCTTATTTAGGTACCAGTCAGAAGAGCTGATACCAATCCGGGTTTCAAAAGAGCTAAATTGTACATTTGTGATGGACTTGCTGCTTCTTTCCGACGGTTCTGCATATCACTATGTGCTAATCAACGACCTGACAAAGCTGGTCAACTTTATTCGCAAAAGAGCACCACGCGACAGAAATGAAATCTGCCGAATTTGCTTCCAAACTTGCACTTCCAACGACATTCTACGTCGACATCAAGAAATTTGCTATCGACAAGATGGCATTGAAATCACGATGCCCGGGCCCGACAATGATCGACATGTGTTTAAAATTTTTGGTGCACGATCTTTTGTACCACGTATAGTATACTTCGACTTGGAGTCATTAATTGTACCCGTAGCTGGCCCAGAGCCTGACAACGAAAAATCGAACACTCACCTTATCGAAAAACACCAGAACTACGGGTATGCATTCGCAGCTGTAGAATTTGGAAACCCCGAGGTGGTCAAGTTCGAGTTGAAAAGGGGACCTGACAGTATCGAACATCTGTTACTGAGCTTGGAAACGCTTGCAAAGGAAGTTTACAATGAAAAAAGAAGACATTACGCGTTCACGGGGCAAAGAGAAACAAGAAAAGAAGATACATCCGAGTGCTGGATATGCGAATTGCCTTTTGCATGGGATGAGGAAAAGGTATTAGACCACTGTCACTATACCAACAAGTTTCTCGGGTGGGCACATAATACATGCAACATCAACCGCAAGACAACTAATTTCATTCCTGTAGTTGCCCACAATCTAGCAAACTATGACCTACATTGTATCATTCGAGCATTGAATAAAAGCAACCCACACACTGTCTTCTCTGTCATACCGAGCACCGAAGAAAAATTCATCTCAATAACCATATCGGTATGGATCAAAACGTTCTACGATAAAAGTGGAAAAATTAGAAATGTGTATGAGAATCTGAGATTTATCGACTCCTACAAGTTCATGCAATCTTCCTTATCAACACTCGTTAATAATTTGCCACCTGATAATTTCAGTCTATTGGAAAATTTCTTCAAAGCAAAAGGACATTCAATAGAGAAAATCGATCTTTTGAAACGAAAAGGGTTCTACCCCTACAGCTACATTGATAGCTTCAAGAAATTCAATGAACCGCGATTACCCGCCCGAAGACTGTGGACGAATAGCCTAGCCGGCGGTGAGGTCAGTGTAGATCGATCAGAGTTCAACCATGCAATCATGGTATTCACTAAATTCGGCTGTAATTCAATTGGTGACTATCACGACCTGTACCTCTCTATCGATGTGCTGTTACTTGCTTCTGTGTTCGAAGCTTTTCGATCCGTATGCTATGAAACATATGGAGTCGATTGCGCGCACTATTATACCGCAAGTAACTTGGCGGGGGATGTGTTCCTTAAAATCTGCCGAGCAGATCTTCGATTGCTAACCGAGCGCGACCACCTTCACTTTGTAGAGGGGATGATTCGTGGTGGAATGTGGTCTGTATATGACCGAAAATACTGGAAAGCCAACAACCAGATCTTGACGACCATGATAAAAATGCGGAAAATTCGTTCATCGTAAACATCGACGCAAATAATCTCTATGGAGGTATCATGCAAAATTACTCGTTGCCCTTAAACGATTTCAAATGGGCGGACGACTCGGTGGATATACCTAAACTACTACTGACGGAAGAGGATAGTGAGTGGGGTTACCTAGCGGAGGTAGATATCGAGTTCCCCGACGAGCTCCATGACTACTTCAAAGACTATCCTCCCGCGCCATCAAAAAAATGTACAGATAACTGACTTGAGTACCAATCAAGTGGAAATGATGGGAAAATTAGGTATCACCAGTCTACCCAAAGTGCCTAAGCTTATACAGTCTCTACAAAAAAGTCAGGATTTATTTTGCATTATCTGACCCTTCAGCTTTACATACAATTAGGTGTGAAGGTGACTCACCTTCATAGAGTGCTGCAATTTCGACAGTGTAAATGGATGGCGCCTTTTGTACAGATGAACACTGAGCAAAGAAAGAAGGCTAGGAACATTTTGAGGAAAATTTTTATAAGCTCATAATAAACTCATCTTTCGGCAAGACGATGGAAAGTAAACGAAACAGAACAAAAATGAGTATAGTGCGTAACGAAATCGAGCTACCGCAAAAGGTGTGCCAGAGCTCATTGAAGTCATTCCAAATCCTTCCTTGCTACAATAACATTCAATCCGAGCTCAATCCGGTGGGATAAGCCAACGATCGTTGGCGCAGTAATATTAGACATTGCAAAAAAATACATGTCCGAAACCCTCTACGTGCAAATGAAGCCAAACTTTAATCTCGAGCTATTATACTCCGATACTGATAGCTTTATTTATATGATAAAATGTGACGATATATACGAGGAACTAAAAGAAATGGGACACTTGTTTGACTTCTCGAACTATCCCAAACAATCACCACTGTATAATGAAACCTACAAGAAACAGGTGCTAATGTTCAAGGACGAGATGGGTGGAGACTTGATTGGAGAATTTGTAGCACTCAAACCGAAATTATATTCTCTTAAACTCAAAAGTAAGTGGTAAAATTTATCCAAATTCCAAAAACCCAATGACAGAAAAAATAATTAAATTGGTTGGCACCTTTAATACCTTTCACAATTTCTGTTTTTTTTTGTTTTAGATAGGAGCAACAAAGTCTCAGCGAAAGGAATCTCTTGGTATGCACAAAAACAACTGACACATGATCGCTTTAAGGACGCCCTATTCAACCACAGAAAATTTCGAGTTAAAAACACGAGTATCAGATCAAAAAAACACGAGCTACAAACTGTCAACATAAATAAATTAGCGTTAACAGCTTTGGACACAAAGAGATTCCTCCTCGGTGACCTGGTAACCTGTTTACCTTTTGGTCACTTTTTGACCCGCGAAGATGAATTTAATAACCAAATTTTACTCGACGACTGGGATGGTAGTTTAGAAAATAAACCTTATTCTTCTTCGAACACCATTTTTGATAACTTTAATAAACAGCCATTTCAAAGGGAAATAAATATTGATGACTCGGACTGGTCACCGCCAGACCCGGGACTGTATAACAGAAGGAAATACACAAAGAAAGAATTGCGTGAAGATTTGGCTGACAGTTCTAAAACTGTAGATAAACCTTACCCAAACAATCTTACATTGCGTTCGAGGCTCAAGAAGAACGTGACAATACTATGGCGGCTGACGGAAATAGCAGTGAATTAGATAATACCAGTTCGGAGAGTGCAAATAACTCTCCAGTAATTGCCAAGAAAAGTTAAAGGGTTTTAAACCGCTCCCAATTAGACAATGATTATTTAACTAAAATAACTTTTTACTTTTGCATTACCCCACTCTGATTAATATTTTGCTTGTAATATTTGTAAAGCTTAATTTGCAAAAAAAAAACCATACCCAAATTTATATTTCAATTGTAAAATAAGCTCAATTTATTTTGCATACTTACCACAATCAGTAATAGACAATTTGTTTCTAAAATTTTTCCGGTCTAATTTGAGCAAATACCACTTGTCTTTGTTTCCAATTAAGTTCTACTCGCCGCTATAAATTCAATAAACAAACGCAACGGGAGAAATTTGATTTAGCCAAGCAGAGTAATTTCAAACACCAAAATAGAATTCGAAGCTGGAACGAAATGTTCCAGCAAAACTAAAGGGAAATGTTAGCGGTCAATGACGGCGTCAAAATATCATGCATACTGAAGGAATGAAAGAAGGAAAAGAAACTTGAATTTAAAAAGACTGAGAAAATGAATGTAAAAAATTAAGGATCCTACTTTAATTATCCGCCAGGGATCTAGAATTTTGCTACATGGGTATATGACTCTTAGTAAAATCCTCAGGGGGGAGGCTACCCAAAAATTTGGATCCTCAAGTGAGGATCTTGTAATCCACCAGCAAAATGCCGGCTGACTACAAGATAATTTTGGACCCCTTAGGTGTCGGATCTTAGACGCCCACGTCTTATTTTAGGTGATTTTGCCCCCCCCCCCTCCCGAAGGATCCCTGGCGGCCCCTCATACTACTACCCAAATTTGAGTTTTGTATTTTCGTCTTAATTGGAGCGAGTAAAGTGAGCTTGCAGGCTTACAACTTATACTTTTACGTCAGATCCTTTTATCAGGCCAAGCAAAAAAAACTACACTACTTTGAAAAAATTTTCTAATGCGTAATTTTCTACAAACTATGGTCGGAAAATTCTCTGCTACTTGCACAGTAACCGGCTATCCTTGTTTTTATTATGCATATATACGATTTCTGTGATGATTCCTAATGACTATGGATACCGGATAAAAACTATTTTATGACACGGCTATAATTCGAAAGCGATATAATGGATAACACTTTTTATGGATTTCACACTTTGAAGTTTTTTGCCGGGTTTGACTTTGATACGAAGCTTAGAACTGACAACAAGAAACAATATATTTCGATAGTAGTAACTATACAAAAATAGCCAGTTTCTGTGCAATTATATCATCTAAAACGTTCTGAAAGGTAATTTTTTAATCAAAATTAGGCTTTTTTGAAAATAGAGAGGATTATGAACTATTGAAGAATTCGCAAACTGTTTAATCAAAACTAAAAGTGAAGTTGGACTGAAAATCAGAGCATACCCAATTTCGTTCAAGGCGGTCGAACTATAAACCTAACTTGAAATTTCATATGAGACCATTCTAGCCATGAATATCCTCGTGGGAGCGGATGGAGGTCTTAGTTTGAAGTCGAAGGGGAAGGGGTTGAGCTCATTTTTTTTGTTGTAAATCAACTAAAGTAGTAGTCTTAAATATCCTTTTTTGGAGTTACGAGGGCAAGAGCGCTAGTGCTGTGTTAAGTTTACCCGAGCCAGTAGAAACTTTTAGCATTCGCCCTAGTGGCCAGTTGTCTTTTGGTAAAATTAGCAAGTACTCACACGAATTCATCTTTTTCGAGTGGTTCCTTGGATTGAGTTCATTTAGTTCTTTGTATGAAAGTTTTTCGGATGCATTTTTTTCGGTAGATTCCTCCAGAAGCTGTCAAGTCTATCTTTTGCTCGCTTCAAGCACTTGCAAGACAGTTTACTAAGAAATGTTTTGTGGAAAGCTGCTACCTTTTTTTGTTTTGTCTGTGCTAGCCAAAGTGTAGTCTACTAAAGCTATCGCTTCGCCACCTCTATCATCCTCTTTGGATCTTCAGTCATGATCGACAGGTCCACTCTGTGGCCGCCGAACATAACGTGTCTCGCTGCCATTGTACTGGGGAATTCGGATAACCAGAACACAAGTGTTTCATTGTCTTCACCGCACCTCTTGCATTTCGGATCGGTCATTGGATCCATCAAATGCTTATACGCTGCCAGCTGCTTACTATGGCTTGATTTCAGTCTTACTAGCATAACGGCGTCTTTCCGGCGGGTCACGGTGGCTTCATCCCCTTTTGCTGGGTGCTTGGCGTAGACCGCTCTAGCCCTCTTGTTTTTTTTTGATATGCTGTCGGTGATAGATCTTTTCATCACAGCCTTTACGGTTTTGAACGTGATTCGTCTGTGTTCGCAATTCAGGCTTCTAGCATCGTTTGCTAGTCTGTCTGCCGTCTCGTGGCCGGGGATCCATTGTCTTACGATTAGGCTGTTTATGGAGTCTCATTGTCGTCTGATGCCTTTGCTGTCTTTCTCGAGGGCGGTTGTCAGGGATTGCAGGAATTGCGATTCGGTGCAGATCATGATCTTGTCATTTTCACCGGTAGCATCGCCTTCTATCCAGTTCAGGGTAGCCTTTAGCTCCTGCTTCTCCTCCTCGTACGAGGAGGTGAACTTCCCGCCTTTCACTTTCTGCAGTCCACAAGAATGGCGCTGATGGGTCTCCATGGGTCACCCATTAGGAAGCGGTTGGTTGTCAGTGGAAGGTCTTCGTCAATGTCACTACTGACATACCTTAGCGGACGAGAGTTAATGATTGCCTCAGTCTCGGATACGATAGTAGCAGATAGATCTCTCGATATTCTATCAGAACCGAGACTTAGTAAGTACGCCCGTTCCATCATTGAAACGAAACGCTACCACAGCAGCCTATTTGAGTGTCAGACAGAGGGTTTATGCGCTATTCGACACTGTGTATTTGTAGCGTTTCAGTTCGCGTGGCTTCGTTGAAGGCATGTGAAGATACAAATTTATTTTTATAGTTGTTTCTTTTGTAGAATGGCCCTCTGTTAACAATCACTTTATTTTTTGAAAGATAATGGATCATCGAAAGGGTCATCGAAACGAGTTTGCGACAAGTCAGCCATGAGTGGAATAAGTCCTCTGTCTTAGAACCTGCTGCACCGAGAGCGGGGTGTTTTTTGAATCCCAATGATTTCAAGGCTTTGTTGCGAGTATTTGCAAACGTACTCAGTGCCGTGATGCTATGAACGGCAATAAGCGCTCTCAATGCTTATGCGTACAATTGGTTACTTTTACTTTGCATTTAAGATTGGTAAAGGTGAGTTTCGTAGTCTTGATTGAAAATACTTCAATGTCGAGAAAATAGAAAAACTATTGTATTCTGTCTTT